TATATATATATATATACACAATTTTTTTTATGTTGTTTTCACTAATTTCTGTAAAACAAAGAAATTAATTTACTGTATAAAATACAGAGGGTCACCATATACTGTAGAAGTGATATTAAATAAGTAGCTTTCCTTTCAAATTCTCTCTGCACTTTATCCCAAGTTGTCTATCGTGTTTCTTCCACTTTTCCTCCTTTTCCACTTTTCCTTCATGTATTTGAGGCGCTTTGTGAAATTCCTGTCTAATCCAGGTGTGTATGAGCTGATCCCCAGGCCCCTTTGCTCCTTTCAGGAATCTCGCAGGCTATCGGGCTCTCCTGGGCCCCTGTTTCACACACCAAATTGATGCCTCCGACTGGAAATGACACTTTCAGCAGGATTTGCCATTCTAAACCACCTCAAGCCCATGTGATCTCACCCATTCACTCTCAGAGGGATTGCCTTGAAATGCACCTTAGCTTCAAAAAACCAGTGAGCACAGAATGCTTGAATGAAAAGCTGATACATATTCTATCGTGCAGAAAAAGAGAAAAGATATTCAAAAATGCTAGAGAAGTAGAATCATATTTTTTTTAGTCTCTCTGAACAAAGACCAACAATCCCATGAATAAGTAGTTATTACCTAGTGGAATGCACTGAAAGAGTGAAACTAAAAGAAATCAATAACCACATGAATTTTCATGTGTACGTGCTTGTCCGCCATTTGCTTCATCTGCTAAATATCTGTCTCAGCTGGTCTGTCTATCAATACAGACACAGATGGTATGATTAATACGTGCCATTCAGAGCTTACCATCTTTTTCTAACACTCCATTTAAAGGAGGAGCACAGTGACCATGTTGCTTTGCTTGAGGACTAGTTATGATATAATTTGACACTGAAGGAGATGGAAAAGGGAAAAGGTGTGACCAAGAATCCCTCCCTTGACTTATTTTCATCCCCAAGTCTTTTTGGGGCTACACGTTTCTCCAAGGGGGCTTTACACGCTGGCATAATGGATAAGGGCAAGGGTGTGAAAGGAGCACCTTAAGGCTCCTCATTCAACTCTCCCAATCTCTCCTGCACACACTCTTGAGCTGTGAAGGCCGTCTTTCTTTACCCTGCTAGCATGGGAGCCCTGTAATAGGCTCTAATTGATAGGGAGGTGTTGGGGTCTTTCTGTATGGGTTGAAGGGATGAGGGAAAGAGAGAGAAAAGGGGGGAGAGACAGAGGATTACATGCGGGCATGTGGGTGGAGCGGGGGAAAAGAGGCAAGAGGCTGTGGAGCGGTCTAGGCCCCGTCCGTAATGAGTCATTAATTTCCTAGCAGTTTTGTGGCGGTTGGCTCATTACTGGTCTGCAAAGGAGCAGGAACAAAGCTCCGGGTAGGTAGGAGGTGAGCTTAAATAGTTGGGGCTCAACACTTTCCAACAAAAGGAGGAAGAGAACGTTGAATGGCACTTGGAACAGATGCAGTAAAAAGTGGCAGATGCAAATTGCGGGAGAGCAAGTCTCCCTTCAAGCACTTTTCTCTTTTTTATTTTGTCAGACTGCAGCCTGAGAGTCTAATTAGTTAGTGAGGTGTTTCACTTCTGATAGGGCTGTGTCTCGTTATTGTCACAAAGAGGATCCATAGAAATGGGAGGCAACACATATGTTGCACAGTCCCCAGTGGAACCTGCTTGCTGCTATGCTTTCATTAATTATTATTTTTTACCCTATAGAAATCGAAAGATGTACGATATTTCCATGCTTTGAAATTGTGTTCTACGGAGTTTAAAATGTGATAAAAGAGATGATGCCTGCAGGTAATTAATTATATTCCTAATTACGTGTTTATGCTTTTCACCCTACAGCCAAAATGATTATGGACAAATTGGCAGCGGTTCTAATGAAAATGCGGTTGTTCCCCGCTTTGTGGAGCGTGTGGACCATGTGTCGAAGGTCACCTGTGGGGCAAACCATAATCTTGCACTGACAGGTACTGTAATGCACTGTGTATGTCTGCTTGGGTTACATGACAATTAATCACCGTAATGTTTTAAGTGAATAAATAAGGATTAAAAAATATTTAAGTTTTTAAAAAATTCATGTGTGAACTGGACCCTAGTTTGTCCATCAAAATGCATAGGAGGATCCTATTGGCGACCACTTAGAATTTAGATTTGTGTGATATTTTTCAATTTTATTTGTCTTTTTCCCTCCCTTTGGGCAAGGGGAAGTAAAATGCTCAAGCAGAAAACACCTTTAAGAAGGGGTGGCTAACATTGTTGTCATCAGCTGTCATTGCAGTTCAGAGTTGGCTTCTTTTAGTCAAAGTACTCGAGCCCTCCATCAGCACATCACCTGAGAGCGTTACACAGAAGGAGGGGGCTGGGGTGGTGGTGCGAGCAAGGGAGAGAGGGAGAGAGAGAGTTAGCGAGAATATGGCCCTGGCTCCTGATCCATAGCAGTCATTGCCTGTTACATACATTTCAGAATTCATTCAGGCTATGAAGATAATCGGGGTAGTCGACAGTTTCCCCTGCAGCCCAATGGATTTATGATAGCACTGTCAAGAAAATGAGGCAAAATGACACAGTAGCTGACTTTAGCTGCAAATAATGTGATAGGCCGTACAGTGGTGCAGCAGCAGCTGCTGTCATTGCAGGTAATAGCCTATAAAGAAGCCTGATAGCAATACCTGTCATTTCTTAATGGCTGACTTCACTGAAGAGCTTTTGTGGCCTTTAACATGAAGATAATAGAAGATACAACAAATTTTACAGCTTTTGCGTTGCATCCATAATTTATCTCTAGAGACCCCCACGCAGCAGCCGCACAACAAGGACAACATGCTCCGAGATGTGTGCTGCAGAGAGATGCAAAATGAGCTGCAGGGGGTTGGAGGCCCCTCCGGTGGGGTGCTTTGCTTTTAATGGAGGAACCGTACAGGGTTCAGTACATGTTCTGTCACTTGGTATCTCATATCTGTTGTATAAGATAAAAGGACCTGAGTATTCAAAAGTTTGGACTTTTTGGGAGGAACTTACAAATCATCGCTGAAACTGTATTCATTTCATTAATAATTTACCACAAATACATATTGGCTTAAATTGGAAGTGTAATTGTTTACTACTTAAACTCAATTTATTAACTGATGATCCAGGTGATGGGAAATTGTTTCAGTGGGGATGTGGACGGGCATGTGGAAGCACTAAGGGAAACATCCTGTCCCCAGAGGAAGTGACGCTACCAGATTCGCCAGTGAAAGACATTGCTGGTGGATGTTGGCACAGCCTTCTTCTAACAGGTTTGTCTCTGCTTATGTTTGAAGGCTATTACAAACATACCATCACCTGCCAGCTGTTGATGCATATTTTAGTTCAAAGCACATGTGGACATATAAGTTAACAGTGTGGATGACCTCTATGACATTATAGATACGCTGAAATTCTACATGCAGTTCTGATACAAATTTAAATAACGATCTGACGTCAAGCAATGCTTATACGAGTCTTTTGTTGCACATTTTCATTATTTATTTCCCATTTTGTGCCACTGAGACCTAGAACTCTTCATTATAAATACGCAACTGCCTTTCAGCCTTTCATCACAACTTCATAAGTTCAAATGTGTACAACTTTTTGATACTCGATCCCATGTGTAATACTGCTAACGTAGTGGGAAACAACAGACAAACAGCCTCTGGTGAGCATCAACTCATTTTCAGATAAGCTGATAGCGATCATCATGGAGAATACTGGCCAATACCGATGTTTGGCTAATAAATCAGTGCCTTAGTGTCTTAGCCCGCACACAGACATTTGAGTGTGTGCTTTTAGTCGTGGTGTCCATTTATCCACATCGTTCATTAAGAGCTCTCCCAGGGCTTGAGCGGCTACATAAACACAGAGGTTGAGGCCACAGCTGCTCTTTCACCTCACCGCGGAGAACTTCAAAGTCACTTCTCCCCACACGGCAGATGAATGCGCCGTGTCTGCCAGGCTGATATATTGGCCCCAGTTGCTGTCTTCTTACTGTAGTATGACTGCAACTGAGGCCCCATCATGGAGCCCGAGCTGGGCCATTTGTTAGTTTTAGCTGTATCTCCAAGACCTGGCTTCAATTCTGAAGGGAGAACATTAATCCTTTTAATACAACACTTTGTAGTGCCGTTTTCCTGTGTTGTTAATGCCGTCTATTATTAACCCCATTAAAAGTGTAATACAATTTAAGTAGAGTGCTAAAAGTGGATCATTTGTTGCTCCGTTCTGTTTGAATTAATTCTCAATTTATGATCTAAATGATTAAACTATAGGAGTCACGGCACCAAATGAGATTCTTAAACCGCCAGGCATACATTTACACATATTAATACAAACATTTATGAGCTCACATTCACACTGATTGACCAAGTAAAAAAGACACACACTCACATGGCTGTGTGTTGCAGTCCCTCTTCCAAATCCTGTAATGTCCCCAGCTTGATCCCTAGTTCCATTCTGTCAGGAGGAAAAAGAAATATCCATCTCCAATCAGGCCTTAATGAATAGCCTGATGAGTGTCGGGCAGAACTGAATTACCAGATAGATTTGAAGAGCATGAGTGTGTACAATGTGTTTGTGTGCACGAGTGTGTGTGTTCGTGTATCTGTGTTCAGTGGTTGGGAGGGGGTAGTTAGAGGGCCAGTAGAACAGGACACATGTAGGAATTAATTCTCTCCAAGTTAAAAAAAAAAAAGAAAAAGAAATTGGCTAACTCTGTCATTTGAGCCTGATGGAATCGCCTTATCTATTGGTATGAATTTTCATTTATTAGGGTCAAACAGCAGAGGGATACACAACGAATAGGAAAGAAGGCTTTGGGAGAGAGAAAAGTCGAAGTAATGAGGGGTCAGATTTGAAAATTGGAAAGAAAGTGAGAGAAAGAAGAGGAGGAAGTCAAAAAGTAGAGAGATGGGGAAGATGGAACAAAAGGAGTGCAAGGGAGTCAGTGGTATGAGAAACAGCTTGCCAGGGCCGGAGCATATTGAGGGCAGCAGGTGGAAGAGTGGCACAGTTAATTAAAATGCCTGTCTTAATGTCTCAGCCCGTCACTCCAGGGAGAGAGAGAGCGAGAGAGAGAGAGAGTTGCCAGGCTTGAGCTGGGCTGTACCCAACCAGCCATCCAGACAGCAAACCAACCATCCAGCCAGCCCACCAGGCCACATGTCAGACAAGCCCTGACACCATGCCCTTCACCCCCTCTTCATCTTGTGCCATACACACTCACAAATGTCCACAAGCATACAACTTGTCCAAACCCCACCAACTATTTCCTCCTCCTTTTCTTTTTAAACCCATACGCCGAAACCTATCGAAGCCCCCCTAATCTGACAAAGAAGAGAACAAAGCCCCTTCTTTAAAAAAAGAACAAACGCACTTCTGATGTTACTGTTTTACTCAGCAGCATCTGTAACCTGCCTCTAGACTAGCAGCCGTGCAGCCTTGCAGCATAATCTGTCTGCTTTTAATAATTCATAGAAAGCACAGGCTGTGCACTATGTACTGAATGCTGAGGGTAATGGGGATGTTGTGATATTTCTATCATGGCCTGTCTGAATCAGCGAGCGAATCAAAACCAGCAAAGATCTGATAAGCGGTCTGTTCTGTCTTGTAACAGCATTGGCTGTCATCACTGCTTCATAAGTGGACTATAGCGAATCCTTTCTGCTGTGTCAGCTATAATGTTGCTAATTGTGATGTATAATGGATGTTCAACCAAGTTTCATGTGACAGCAAATCACAGATTTATGCTTTTACACAAAAGGCAAAGATAAACCTGATATGTTGGCATCACTGGTGTATCAATATCACAAAAAAAATGCACAGGATGATACAGACCAAAGTGAGTTAATGCTTGTGTCACTTCATCTGTGACTGTGTTGACGAGTCATGCACTATTGTCTTCACTGCAGAAATACCTACAACCTGATCATTTTCCTTCCCTAATAATCATATTCACCATATATACGTATATCAAGGATATTAGATGATATATTTCAATATCTGGATTTCTTTGTATCTGTGCCACTCTCTGTTGGTCAAACTCTTAAATATAATTCTGGACAATCCTTACTTCTTATTGTACTAAAGCTGTGCTCAGCTGAAAAAGGGAAAACAAAGAGTGTGAGCATCTTTCCGAGTGTGAGGTGCGTCTAGATTTGTACGTTGTGTCGTTTGACTAATGTTTTATCAGGTTTTGCTGTATCACTGTGGATTGCTTTGTCAATAACCAGGCCGTTGCCTCAGTGAGCAAAAATCTGAGATTGTCAGGCTGAGTGACAGGCTGGAGATGGCAGATAATTCAAAGAAATTGGAAGTGTGAAATCTTTAAGGGCCACTTCTTAACACAGCAAATGCCAGGGTATCTTTCCATCAGCTGCTGCTCTCACAAGCTACCGCATTGTTAATGGTGGCCTGTCTGTCCATCAAGTCAGCTTCAGGAGGGATTTAGACCTGTTTGGCACCTTATCTCTCCGACTGCCTCCCACTAACCTGACCGATACACAGGTCTTGAGTAACGTGTATGTTCTGTGTAGCCAGTGGTGGTTGTAAACCTATCTCCAGAGTAATTTTTTTTTTTTCCGTTTGATTTGCGTATTTGTAGATATTAGTTTATCTGTGAGACAGAGTATTGATATATTTATTGTTACACAATCAGGGGTCTAATGTGATGGTGCCTGTAGCACTTGTTAATTTAGCTGTCAGCGCTACTGATTGACCTTAAATTGTTGCAGGAGAGCTCATTGTCCTTGTGAGTGAGCTTCTGTGTCTGCTGTCTGTCTGTCTGGATGGATGTAATAAAAGCAGTGTCTGCTTTCAGTTTCAGGCAAAAACATTGCTCTGAAGAAGAAACTCAACATGTCAATCAGCGACAGGGGATAAGTGTTTCCATGAGTCACGACTATAAAAACGTCTTTATTTTGTAAGGCCTCATTAGATATTAAGCAGTTCAGAA